AATGTAACCACTCATAGCTTTCTTCCCACTGACATCTACAAATAAAAGGCTATAAAATGCTGCCTCTTTCGAGGTGTTAAAGGAACACTATAGGAACCCAGACCACTTCAGCTAATTGAAGTGGTCTAGGTGCAGTGTCCTTTTTGCACTTAGTGCTGCAATGTAAACATTGCCATTTCAGGGAAATGGCAATGTTTACATTGCAGCACTAAATCTGCCTCCAGTGGCTGTCTCCCACATTGATCGCAACGGACCTTCGGTCCGGTATCTGATGCTGGACGTCCTCACACTCTGTATGAGGGACATCGAAAAGGGGATAAAGTAAATAAAAGTTTTTTGGGGGTTTTTTTTTTAGCCCTTTAACGCAGAGGAGAGGAAAGTGATATCAGGATTACAGCTTTGTACAGCTATAGGAGCCATTTAAATAATTTCACGCTTGTCAACTTTAAAGGAGCACTATAGTGCCATGAAAACAAACTAGTTTTCCTGGCAGTATAGGGTTATTAGCTGTGTCCCCTGCGCTGGGCTGAAGATTAAAACCTTCAGCCATTTACCTTAATCCAGGGCCCCGTGCGCGCATTCAAACCGCCCATAGGAAAGCGTTACTCAATGCTTTCCTATGGACGTCCAGCGTGTCCTCAATGGATTGAGGAAGCGCCTCTAGCGGCTGTCAGTGAGACAGCCACTAGAGGCTGGATTAACCCTAGTGTAAACAGATCAGTTTCTCTGAAACTGCTATATTTAGAGCTGCAGGCTTAAAACTAGGGGGACTTGGCGCCCAGACCACTTCATTGAGCTGAAGTGGTCTGGATGCCTATAGTGGTCATTTAAATATAGTTTCTTTACCTCCCATGGTGCATGACCGTCATTGTTTTCATTCCAAAAATTTTCCTTGGCTGCCATCAATACTAAATTCAGCTTTTTAAGCTTCTTACAACCCACTTTGTGGTATGCCATTTATCAACAAATTTTAAAAGCCACTATTATCTATTCACAACTTGCCAGATGCTTGGCTAGAGAATAGGTGTAATAGTTTATTAAACACACTTACTAGCCTGCATGTGGATGCAGATCTACTAATAAAGCAGTCAAAAAACGACATCAACCCTCACTGTAACTGGCAGAAATAAAATTTAAGGGATAGTCCAGAGCAAAACTTTAATGGAGCTAGTCTTGGTGAATAGATCCTGGCTGTCAATGCTCATTTCACTTTATTTATGAGTCAACACACTTTGGCTTTTGCAGCCCTAAAAACAATGCCCTTGTTTGTGACCATTCTAAGATGGAATGTTTATTTCAGAAGTTGTCCTGGGGCTAGTTTAGCTTTGATCACCCTCGAAGCTTTAGCTGGTATGTAGCAAAACATAAAGGTAAGCAGCACACAAGACTTTTGTTCAGACTAGGAAGAACGACCTCGAGCCATCTGTAGAACTATAGCAAGCTGAAAGAAAAAGAAAAAATAAGCCAAAAAAAACAAGCGTTCAACTGGTGGACTAACTTTGGAAACTTTAATTCTGTACCCACTTACTGAAGCTTTCTTCCCCAGAACTCAAAAAAACTGAACAGGACAGTCTACCAAAAAAAAAAAACCCACAAACAATTGAGCTTTAGGACTACTAAACATGTAATCCAAACACTATAGTGCCTTGGTGGCTGTTTGGTTCGCAACCCCACGTACATGGGGATTATTTAAATTAGATTTTTCTCCCTTGCAGCATTAGTCATAACAGTTGGTCCCACCTCTTTGGTTGAGATAATTTTTAAATAGATATCTCAGCCAATCCAATGCTTTCCAAACAAAAAACAAACACAGCTTGGGGATAATGCACATGCCGCAAAACATCACGTAGCACTGTATTGTCTCCAACACTGCCATTTCCACAGAGCAGCTGTTTCAGCTACATGTTAAAATGATGGGGAGGCATGGCATGGAGTGGTCTTTGAGCTTATCAGTATCCCTTTAAGGGAGTGGTTTTAGTATGTAGATGCTGTCCCCCTTATCGGATATTTAAAATCCAATATAAAAAGAAAGTTTTGATTTTGGCAAATACACCTCTAGAGCAGCGGTTTCAACCTGCGTACCCCAACGGGTACAATTCATTCAATTGGAGTAAGTAAAAGCTTGTAACCACTTCCTGCATGCCGCAAGGAAGAGGGGGCTGGTGAGGCATAGTGGACCAGGAGAGCAGCAGGATGCCAACTCCCACCAGACCCAGTCAGCCAAAAAGTAGGATTTGTGTATCTATGTGTCAGTGTATGTATCTGTATGCCAGTGTACGTGTCTTAGGACTCAACAGGTCACCATGGCGACTAGGAACTTTGTCCTGTACCTGGAATATTTCAGCCAGGAGCAGCATGGGAGAGCATATGTGTATATGTATGTGTGCGCTCGTCAGTGTCTGTATCCTTAAGTGTGTTAGTGCCCATATCTGTGTCAGTGTCTGTATCAGGGCAGAGAAGCAGGAAGAGTGAGGCAGAGGGAAAAAAAGTATAGATTTAAAATAAATTCAACTATATTAATTACATTTTGCTAATGTGAAGGGTACAATCTATGGAAATTGGCTGCCAAGGGGTACTCAAGTGAAAAGGTTTGGGGACCACTGCTCTAGAGGCTTTCAATTGGACAATTCTTATACCCTTACAGGGTCACTAGTTATCAAAACAACTTTAGTTTAAACACTATAGGGTTTGGAACACAACCATGTATTCCTGACCCTAGTGCTAAACCCCCACCATTAAGTTGGCTTGCCCCCCCCCCACAAAAGCAATTAAAACCTTATTTCCAAGGTGCCATCAGTGTTGCAGATTTTGAGCCAATCCAATGCTTTCCCTATGGGGATTGGCTGAAATCAGCATGGGCAGGGCAAGACACTGTTTTGGCTAATCAGCACCTCCTCAGAGATGCATCTGAGGAAAATTCAGCATCCCGGTGTGGAGCGTGGAGACACTGAATGGCAGCACTTCCAGTAGCCATCTGAGTGGCCACTTGGAGGTGTACCTAGGGACAATGTAAACACTGCCTTGTTTGCTTGAAAATGCCTGAAGGCAATGATTACAATTTACCAGAACTACATTATGCTGTAGCAGCTCTGGTGACTATGGTGTCCCTTTAATGAAGCAGTTTGTGTAGACATGCCTGAGGAAGAGTAAACATTGGATGACTTTACAGCAAGTGTTTAGGAAGGCTGTGTAAGACATGCAGGGAGATGTGACTAGGGCTGCATAAACACCTAAGTGGCAGGGAATTGAGCAAAAATTGCATCTAGACACCAACATTTTATTTTTAATCTCAAATTGTTTTGGTGACTAGTGACCCTTGCAATTTGCCAAACCTTTCACATTTAGCAACATAGTGACTGAAGTGTTGGCTGCATTCTTGAAGAACTGGAGTCAATGCTTTGCTTTTAGACGCACTGAAGCAGCTGCTGCAATTGCACCATGTGTCCTCAAAAGTCATAATTCATATTGCTAGAGAAGGATTGGCCGCTGTGAGTAGTCTGTCCCAGCAAAGAGAGTAGGTTTACAGACAATTCTAAATCAGGATTTAAATTTTTTTATCTAAACATAAAATTAACTTAAAGTCTACAGTCACTGAAATATGACAGTTATTGAAAGTTTCATATAGCTCAAAGACCAACATGATTTGATATGGATTTCTTAAGTGCCGGTAAACAGATCATCTAAAAAAAAAACCAAGAGATGGCATTCTGCCTTATAAAGCTAGCAGTTATATCAGCCCCCACTGCCTGGTTTAATGAACAGCAGTCTCCTTTACTGGTGATCAATGTCCTTCAAAACTGCCACGTGCTCTTTTAGATCCAGTATCTCATGTCAAGCTGGCAGCTTGCTCTGCACAGATACTGCCCCTGGCACAGTTGCTGAAGGAGCATTTGACAAGCTGTGCACAATTTAAATACCAGCACTCGTGCCACTTACTACACACTGGAGGCTATATTTACCACCCAAAGCTTCTTGATATGAATTCATTGAGACTGAGACAATACTATAGTGAATAAAGAGTAGGCTTTTTGTTCTAAAAATAAAGTTTATTTTTGTAATATTTTAAAGATATATTTGAAATTATCTTGGAACTCAGTGTCTCCATGGCACACACACTTCGTGCAGAGAAGTTCAAGGATCTGCAAAAAAAAAAAAAAAAGGTAATCCAAAAACACAGGAGGAGAACTTAAACAATGTCCATTTACAATGTTTGCCCCCAGCTTAGCCTTATGTAAGATAGCATATATCTTTTCTTGGAGCTATTAAAAATTCTTGGCACAGGGGTGGTGGGAGACATGTTATAAGTGATATTTTATTGAATGGTTTAATTTTCAGAGAAGGTAATAGTTCACCTTTAAAAGAACACTAAGCTCCATAGCAGTTAGTCTGCAAGTTGTCAAACCATTCTAAAAATGTTTAAACTACATTGGGAGGGTGCCGCAGGCACTATACTACAGTGGGCTGCATTGGAATGTTCCTTAAAGTTAGTTTGGTACCAAAATATAGAATAAGGTGGAGAGAATATATTAAAGCCTCAGTAAAACAAGATGTCCCTCATAGTTGAGTTTTCAGACAGGGATAACAAGACATCATTGGCTTTTTTAGGGGAAGGGGGTTAGAGTATTTACCAACAGGTTACACTTACCTGGTTATTGTCATTGCAAGTAGCTCATCTGTCACCCATAAACAGAAGATCATAGACCCTGTTAACAAAAAAAAATATTTAATAAAGATCTAGTCTGCAACATTTTTGAAAGACAGCATCCCAGTTTTAGACATGCAACTCTCAGAGCAGGAAACATCGTCAGTTATCGCATCAGACGGCACTTCCTATTTCCTGACTCTCATCATGTGAGTGCACGACATTTGCAGCATGCTAAAAGCAAAACCAAACTGCACTCATGTTTACAATTGTAAAAAATAGATCAGAAATATGGGTAATACTCTATCAGAGATATGATAACTTAAAGGAACACCATAGCATTTGGAATACAGATATCATTGAGTTGAAGTGCTCTGGGTGCTTACGGTGTCCTTTTAAGTTTAACATGGCTTACAACTTAACACCAGTAAAATATCACAGCATGAGGTAGAGATACTAGTAGCATCAAGGAAATGAAGGCCACAAAGTTTAATGCTGTTTTGTCACTTGACCCGGGCAAAGAAATATAGAAAGTCCTTAACCTGGATAGAGTCTTTGAAATGCAAATACAAGCAAGTCACAAACAAGTAAAACACACTATATCCTTTATATTACAAGTTTATGTGCTACCTAGCTAAGCACCCTATAAGCTTCAATGGCTAGATCTCAGCTTAACGGCAGAGCCCTTTTGTATTTGTCTGTGCATGTTGTACCTTCTCCCTCAATTGTACAGTGCTGCTGAATATACTGGCATTTTATAAAGTCCAGTAATAAAAAAATGGCAGGAGTTTTTGGCAGATTAAGCCACCACGATGAAATTAACATGTAAGCACTGAGGTGGGAGAAAATTAATTGAACCCACAAAATCTCATGGTATGCTGCACTTGTTTAAACCAGATTGGAAAACTGATGTTTTGTCTCCCTCTAGTGGATGCTTTAATGTAAGCTTACTACAAGTGTCAATCCACACAGAATACAGTTAGAAATGATTTTAACTGTAGTCTAAAGTTTGACAAAGGCATGTGTGAAAAATAAATGCCAAGTGAGAATAATAAAGTGTGAAATGCCACTTTTACAGACCTCAATATACCATACAACATAGTACATAATCAAACAGCCTTTAAAAGGGACAGCCAAGGGTAGATCCTAAGCTCATACAGAACTACAACTTCCACGATGCTTTGCTGTAGAAGGGGAAGTGGTCAACAAAAGCACCTGTGCTCTCATTAAAAAGCAAGTTTTAATGAATCAATGGCCAATAGACACTGCATGCATATGGTAAGCACTTCTAGTGCTTTCTTCCAAACAAACATGAGACAGGAAGATTGTACTCCATACAGTGTCACCGAGTGGTAGGCTCAGGACTGACACACACACCAAAGCTTTGCACTGCAGACTATAGTGCACCCAACATATGCTTGCAAAGAAAGATCTTGTTTAAATAAATATAGTGCCAGCGTTAGCCATCTCTCCAATACCAACATCACTGCTGTAAGCCTGCATAATTAACTGAATAATAAAAAAAAAATATAATAAGTCACCTTTTATCCATCAGATTGCTCCTTGATGTAAAATGCATGTTCAATATTTAAGGAAGCTAGAATAAAAGACAAATTTTAGATTAATTAAAAGATTCAGTATAAGCACTTTAATATTAGAGATTTGAGTTCATTGGAATTGCTACACTAACAATTTGTTTTATTGTTATTTATTGGTATTAGAGGATACCACTTCAGACCGCTTATTAAACAGATCATATGCATGTTTTTAATAGACATGCAAGTGCCTCAATATATAATATAAACGACGCAATCACTGATTTGCGGAGCACTCAGACAAACCCTTCTCACCACCTGCAGTCTGCCGGTAATTCCAGCTATTTTCAGGTTAAATCATCACTGTGCATATTCTGTAAACTGAGGATGAAGATTAGAACTTCAGTAGCTAGACTGGAAGAGTAACATTACCCACTTCAACAGGGTGATTTACTAAAGCCAGAATTTGTTGGAATTTACATTTAAGGTCAAAATGAGCGTAACTGAAAAATCCCTCAAGACAGCTTTGACTACATTAGCCTTAAAGGGAGATCAACTTTGAATTCTCAACAATAACCACATACAAAGTGTAAACAACTCCAATACAGAGATAAACTTACCATATTCTTATACAGCTACTGAAAGCCTATAGGGAAAGGAAAAAGAAAAAAAAGTCGGAAATAAGTGTCCAAAATAAAGACCGCTAAATGTCAATGACTTGCAATGCACTCAGACAAACCCTTCTCACCACCTACAGTCTGCCGGTAATTCCAGCTATTTTCAGGTTTAATCATCACTGTGCATTTACAGTGCCTTCCAACCAGCCAATAAAGTGTTAAAACCCCTTTACTCACACGATTCCAGCACAGAGTATACACTACACCTCCAATGGAGAGCATGCACAGCAGGCAGTCCCCAAGGAAAGCACTGAACCAATAAGTTCCTATGGAGATTTCACTACCACTGAATGTCCTCATGTTTGACTTCCAGCAAAATCCCAGAATCTCAAGAATTGCAGTGTTTCACTTAACGACAAGTAAACTGCACCTAGACTATTTAAATGCGTGGAAGTGGTCTGGGTGACTATAGTGTCCCTTGAAAAAAAAAAAGAACGCCAAGACAGCTTTGATGCCAGTCTGGCTACATGAGCCTTAAACTGAAATTAACTTTGAATTCCCAACAGTAACCATATACAAAATATCAACTCCAATACAGACAGACTTACCATTTTCTTTTACAGCCACATAAAGCCTACATGTGGAAAAGAGGGGAAAAAAAAGAAAAAACGTTTATTAAAAAAAAAAAAAGGAAAATTAAAGTGTCCAACATAAAGGAAATCCAATGTCAATAACTTGCAGAGCACTCAGACAAACCCTTCTCACCACCTGCAGTCTGCCGGTAATTCCAGCTATTTTCAGGTTTAATCATCACTGTGCATATTCTGTAAACTGACAGGGGATGAATATAAAGCTTACAGTGATAAGGCCAGGGACTAATAAAAAGTGGGGACTAAATGGCCGAATGGTTATCTGCTGTCATTCTATGCATCTAGTAGCTAGACTGGATGAGTAATGGCACCAACTTAATCAGTTATTCACTAAAGTAAGAGTTACTGGGAATTTTAGGTGAATTCACAATTAAGGCCAAGAGTGCCTAACCCCCCCCCCCCCAAAAAAAAAAAACTCCAAGACAGCACTGCTACTTTAGCCTTAAATTGAAACTAACTTTAAACTCCAAACAATAATAACCACATACAAAATATAAACAGCTCCAATACAGAGATAAACTTACCATATTCTTATACATCCACTGAAATCCTATATGAAAAATAAAAAATAAAGTATTAAGAAAATAGTCTGATATAAAGACAGCCAAATGTCAATGACTTGCAGTGCACTCAGACAAACCCTTCTCACCACCTGCAGTCTGCCGGTAATTCCAGCTATTTTCAGGTTAAATCATCACTGCACACTGTATAGTCTCCCAAACCACCAAAGATTTGAATTGTACAAATAAAAGTTAAAAAAACCCCAAAAAGACAAAAAACTAAAGAGCCAGTCTACATAACATCACTAGTACAGTAGAAACATAAGGTAAATGAGGTGGGTTAGAGTGCCAGGGAATAGTCTGAATTTTGTCAAGTTGCTTGAAAAGCATTAGACAAGAACTTACAACTTCCTGTTGGGGCAGCAAGGTTCTGGGTGGTCATGGTGCTTAGGGTCACTAATTTAATCATCAACATTGTATCCAGCACATCCATCCTCACCTGCTATAAACTTCTTTTATCCAACGGAATTGCAATAGCTAAAGCAGAAACACCTAGCTAGACCCATACAAACACATTTAACATTTTTTGTATGAAGTCCTATCCTACTAACCAGGCTTTAGAAGTTACTCCCCATTGCAAGTCGGTATCCTCATATGGGGTGAAATTTGTACTGGCCAAGTTTTCACTCACAAATGATTAGTGGAAATTGTGAGTGCAGTTTTCCAAATAAAATTTATGTCATATGAAGTCCTTTTTATACATTGAAAATAAAGAGGCACTCTAAGCAACATAACCACGGCTTGTTGTAGTGCATCATACCACATCTTTATGTCAAACCATTATTGCTAGAAAACCCCAAAACTGCACTTGGGAGATGTCCCTTTCTCAGATGCAGTGATAGTAGAATTAAAGGGGCAGTCTAAGAACCACAGCAGCAATTGTTGCAGTAGTGGTGAAATTTCACAGTAGTCAGTTTGACACTAACTTGGGGTCCCTCTTTCTCTACTTGCTACTTCTGCACTAGTAACCAACCCCTCTGTGCTTGGAATTTACTGGCTGAAAATGAAATTGTCAATATAAAAAGGAGATTTTCTGGTCTGGAGATCTGTGGGATTCTATAAAATTGACAACTATTTTACTAGAGATAATCTTATCTTAACCATATAATACTGTGGGGGATATGGTGCCTAAACTGACCCTTTAATGAAGTAGTACAAGCAATACAAATATTTGGAGTAGGAAATGGTTTCATCCTTCACAGTCAGGAATTAAAAAGGGAAGGCTTGAAACATCAATAATGTTTGCTATTCATTGCCATCACAAGCCATGTTCAGTGAAAAATAAAAATACTATATTGAGCTTGGATACGTACCTCATGTGGTAGTTATAGCAGACATGTCAGTCAACTCCAGTTTTAATCTGCAGAGTCCTGTAGAAAATAAAAAAGCAAAATGAATTCACATTCAATGGAGCTTCTACCTCCATTCCAAAGCCTCAGATTTTACAGAGTCTTTCATTATTAGGTCAGACAGGGATAACAAAATCATCATAGGCTTTTTTGCTCAAATTTGACTAATGCATTAACAATAAGGTACCATTCATGTTAAAGGGGGAAAATATAAAATTTTGATTTGAAAACCCCCTCTTCCTCCACTCAGCCTCCTGTGAGACTAGGATAGATTACCTTTGGAAGCATTGGAGAAACCCAGCACACCAGCCAATAATGGCATTAATTTAGCCCTGGTCTATGAGTAGCATTAGCAGTACAGGATGTACCTGTAGCAGTGGTAAGTCTGCCCAACTAACTGCAATTTTTCTATTGGACACATAAAGGCCAAGATGTTGAGACAAAGTAAAGATCACATATGGTATGTATGACACTTAAAATTAATGCCAACCAAATTCAGAAGAGTTCTGTGCACGTTAAAGGACCCCTATAGTGCCAGGAAAAAACTTGTTTCTCTGAAACTGCTATGTTTATTAAAAAAAAAAAATAAACGTTAACCCTAGCTGGACCAGGCACCCAGACCACTTCATTAAGCTGAAGTGGTCCGGGTGCCTATAGTGATCCTTTCAAGTTTCTCAAATATGTAAGCTCAAAATGTCCAAGAACATCTCCAAGATTCTTGTTTCGTCAGCAATGCCATACTAATCTAAATCGGGCAAGACTGCTTTCAACCTACAGCATTGCAGGAAAAATAACCACTACAGCCCACTGTAGTTGCTATGGTGACAGCAGGGCTTGGTACCCTGCTTCCAGATCATTTAAAAAGTTTGGTCAGCCTTATAGAGCCGAGCATGGTTGCCATCACTGGGTGAGTGAATAATCTGAATGTCAGCCAATAAGCATGGCCCGATATCAGACTTGTTCGCTCTGAAGACATCTACCAAGCAAAGGAGCCAGGTGTTTTAACACACCATTTAAGCACAGCTTGACAAGTTACTTTGGAAGGGCACAAAGTAACAACCTGGACCATAACTACAACAGTAGGAGATAGATAATATTGTTCCCTCAAATACAAAAACATAGAGATACAGACATACAAACAATTGTTGTACAACTAGTCAACTAAACTAGTCCTTAAAGTTTAATTCTCACCGGTAATATTTCCTGGATGCAAGCATGCATGGGTCTAGGATCACAGGGGTCCACATACGGTCTGAAAAGAGAAACATTAAACTGTTTAAAAACAGATTAAAATAAAAGCATTGCACACAATATTAGATGTAATTTAAAGGGATACTTTAGAGGCACTCCTACCTTCAGGAGCTAAAGTGATCTTAGAGTGGTTTAACCACAAAGATGCCTCCAGCACCAATCTGAAGGGTCCCCACAGTAACATCCAGCTCCTGACTGTGAGAAACATAGAATGTAAGTTTCAGGAAGCACTGAGCAGTCAACTGATGCACTCAGCCAACCAGCGAAGCAATCAGCACTTCCAGAAACCCATTCAGAAGCCAGATGCTGCGTGGAGGACCTATAGATCGGAGTGTGTTGCATCTCTGGGGTTAAACTATTCAAAAAGTTTAGCTTCTGATTAAGAGTAAACCCAGTATCCTCCAGGCACCATAACTTGATTTAGAGGAAGTGGTCTTGGTACCAGGAGTGCTAACCTTTCATCTCAGAATATGATATATAGACTTCGTCAAAGAATACACTTCCCCAGGTTTTTTTTTTTTTTCTCTACTCTCCAGGCCTACTCAACCAGCAGACTAATCTCCTGATATTACAATTTCCTGGGACAGCCCAAGCCACATGGAGTGTTTTTTTTTTTAACTGTACCATAAAAACTGTTGGGCTAAACTGCATACAGAGGATTGTATGGGGGGAGACATGTGGCTTATATATTTTAAAGGTTTTAAGATTATATGCACATACCGAGATCAGTCGATTGTAGCCCTTTCAATACATCACTAACTCAAAACAGGTCAGTTTTTTTTACATCACGTATTTAAAGAAATGGTTTCAAAATGTAAGAGTACAAGTTTAACGTATTTGTGAAGATTAAATTCAGTTACCCAAGAAAACTTGACTAGGGTCATGTAAATTCCAGCACGTTGTAGGCCACTGATATTTTTTAGATATTATTTAAACAAAAAAAAATAAAAATATAATGAAAAACCAATGGAAGAGCCTGTACTAGAACAGTGGGGTGTGATCTACATTATATAATACATCTCCAATTGTCAGAATGCAGGAAAGGTTTAGACTGCAAAAGAACCCCCACTGTTAATAAATAGAACCTGTAGAATGTTCACTCCATTCTATCTAAACATACAGATAAATGATAAATACAATGCTCTAACACTTCACTGAAGTCCCTGCGAGAACATGGAACCATCAGAGAGACCGAATAACCGGCTTTGAAGACGGATGCCAATGGAGTACATTCAGTCACTCACCTCTCTGCAGCAGCCATGAAAGCGGAAAGAACGTCTAGCACTGCGAATACAGTATATAACGTAGTCAAATCTCGCGATGCTGTGAAAAGCATGCCGGGAAACGTAGTCCCCAGAAGAGGAGACCTATAGGCATGCGATTAAACAGAGCATTGTGATTGGCTGTAAATGTAACTCATGGTTGGTCTGCTGGATTCGAAGTTTGTCAAAAAAATAAAAATGTGGAAGGCATTACTTTAAAAACTATTCTCTCAATGAGTGATGCCATTTATAAGTAAGTTTCAAAAATAGATATGATCCTTTAAAATTGTAGATTTCGGACCAACCATGAAAAAAAGATAAAAACCTTTAAAAGCTACATGTAATCCATATTCATGAAGACATATCAATTAAACTGTTAAAATGATTACTCCAACCACCATGACCACTTATACTTTTTGAAGTGGTCATAGTGGTAGGAGTCTGGATGTGCAGTGTTTCAGCCTGAAACACTACTGTGACTGCAAAAAGGTCCAATCAACGGCTTTTTCCACCACATCCACTTCGGGTTCCATCACGTCCACTTCGCCCTTCAGTGGATTAAAGGGACACTAATCACCAAAACAACTTTAGCTTAATGAAGCCATTTTGATGTATATATCATGTCTCTGAAGTTTCACTGCTCAATTCTCTGCCATTTACGAGTTTAATAATTTTGTTTCTGTCCATGCAGCCCCAGCCACATCTCCCCTGGCTGTGACTGACACAGCCTGCATAAAAAAAATGGTTTCATTTTCAATTAGATGTTAACTTACTTTAAAAGTTATCTTCTGCTGTGTAAATTTAACTTTAATCACATACAGGATGCTACTGCAGGGTCTAGCAAGCTATTAACAGAGCAGAAGATAAGACATTTTCAATTAAACAGAATTTGCAATAAAGGAAGTGTAAAAATTAGATCACTCTTTACAGGAAGTGTTTAGGAAGGCTGTGTAAGTCACATGCAGGGAGGTGTGACTAGGGCTGCATAAACAAAGCGATTTAACTCCTCAATGGCAGAGAATTGAGCAGTGAGAGTGCAGGGGCATGATCTATACACCAAAACTGCTTCATTGAGCTAAAGTTGTTTGGGTGAATGTAGTGTCTCTTTAAGGTAAGTAAACTTGACTTTAAAACGCTCTCTGAATATTTTTCTAGGGAGAGGGAGGGCATATAGAATAATGCTAAAATGAACAAATTTCAACATGCATGCATTTAATTATGCATTTTTCTTCATTGGGGTATATCTAAAAAACCTCTTGCAAAACATTTTACTTGTT